TTTGTCATCGTCCTGCCAACGACTTACAACCGTTGCAGTTCCTGTTGAGTGGTCTTTCTATGATCAAATGTCGTCATCAGACCTCAGCAACAGTCTCTTGCTAACGTGGGACAAACCCAAGTGCCGGAAATGTGAGTCACGGGGCCGCGAGTGTAGGCTAAAGGCCAATTCTACTCGTCAAACTATTTGTTCAAATGCACCCCGACGAGAAGGTAACTTTCTTTCTGCTCTGTGTCTTTGAAAGTGTGAATTCTTAAGAAAATCAGGTGGTTCCTTGTCGTTTTTCATCGACAAAGGATGAACTTTCGTGTCACCGTACTGAATGAAACCAATCCGAATTCACTTTATTTAGGCCAATGTTAGTGCCATTCAATTGACATTTTCAGTTCAAGAACCATGATAAGCGTTAACTGAACAATAGTATAATATTGGCCAGTGAAAGGTTTGAATTGCGCTCAACGCTTTCAGACTGTAATAATTACCTTTTGATGTTGTTGACTTCTGCGTTTATAGCGAAAGGCCAACTGCTTGAATTGATCAAACATTCCACACCTAAGATACCAACAACCATGCGCAGGAGAAGTAGTCAAAAGTAAGTTCACGGCCAGGGAGGAGCGTCCCCTGGTTTTATTAAACCTAATTATATGAGTAAAAAATTATTTTGAGAGTATATTTTTAATATCTTTGATGTTTTATATTTAATTGAAAAAAAATTATTTTAAATATAAGAATGAATTATTAATTTTATATATTATATTTAATTATTTATATTTTATGTATTTAGGTTAGTATTTAATATTATAAATTTAAATATAATAAAATAAAAATATTAGATGTTAATTATATTAATTTTTTAATTATTTATATTAAAAAATTAAAATAAAATAAAAAATAAATTTTTTATAAATAATTTAATAATTTATATTAAAAAAGGAATAAAATGTTTTTAGAGTATTATTATAATTTTTTTATTTTTTAATTTATATATTATATAAAATTATTTTTTATTATAAAATTTTAATTATTAATAATTAAATTTAATATATTAATTTTAAAAATTTCTAATATTTATTTTTTTTACCTTTAATCCCTTTCAACAAATATTGATTAGCTCCATCCTTGTCCACGGGTCCTGTCTGAAAAGTCTCTACGTGGCAAGATACACTTCACATTTAATACATTTGTATTTTTTCAGCCTTTTTCTATTAAGCTCTTCTTAGTTCTAATGAAGACCAACGTTTTATGGATTCCAAAAAGTCAGCCCAAGGAGAATAACAGGTCTACGGTTGTTGAGCTTTAAACTGCATTTACGTCCTGACATAGGCTGTTTGACCCAAGCTATTTCATCTTTTTTTGTCTTCTTCTTCTTTTCCCCTGAGCAATACAATTAGATTGCCATCAATTATATTTTGTTCAGTAATATTTACTGTAAAGCTGAAACTCCTCTATCAGGTTTAACAAGGAGTGCTCGCTATGCAATCACAGTTGGTGCCGGAGTACCAACTCTGTTGTGTATCTTAGGGCTATTGTGCTTCGTTTGTGGCAAGGTCAAATGTTGTACTGTAAGACGCCACTCAATCCCGGAGCTCAACGCAACGGTCTCTCCACAGCCCACCATTGCGGATGGCCTCGATGGGGCAACTATAGAATCGTACCCGAAAATTGTGATTGGCGAGAGCAGGCGCCTGCCCAAGCCGGATGACAACACTTGCCCGATATGCTTGTGTGAATACAGGCCCAAGGAGACCCTCAAGAGCATACCCCAATGCCAACATTGTTTCCATGCTGATTGCATTGACGAATGGCTTCAGTTGAATGCTACCTGCCCCATTTGCAGGAATTCCCCAGAAAGGCCGACTTCACCAGTTCAGGATTCATGATTTATCCATCTTGCTATTGTCAGAATCCTTCAATTGTTTCTGCTTCTAAGGGCCAAAATTGAAGATGACTCTTTTTTTGGTTCCAAATTGTAGTTTAGTGGCTTGCAGTTCTGACTCTACCAGATTTGCATGCTTTGCTTTTTCTTTAACTTCTGTTTGCCTTTATGTTTTTTCGGATATTATATTATGTATAAGGGCTTTAGGTAATCTCAACTTAATCTTCCAGATTAGTATAAAATTATAACTCCGACTCTCTTCTTGTTTTACGGGATTGAAGTGAGACCGTATAAGCCAAAATTCATTAAAAAAGCATCATTAAACAGCTTCATATTTCAAATCCCAAAGCCATGGAACTTTTTAGGCAAATCATGCAACAAGGTGAAGATCGGATTCACCAAAAAAAAAAAATCAAATGAAGATGACTGGTGGTCGAGGAAGCACTGACATCTCACTTTTTCCTTCCTATTGTATGGCAAAATTCTTGCTATTTCTCTCTGGTTAGTTTATTTGAAATTTGAATTGCATCCGAAGTTAATCAATAAGATGTTGACATTCATTCATTATGATGGATCTATTAGGAAGGGTGACCCACAGCAAATTAATCGAGGGCTATATTTGGCTCTATTACATCAAAAGAAAGAAAAGAGGTGCTGCTGCAGCATAATTTTCAGCGTGCCTAATTAATGATTTCGGCTTTATTAGCTGACTGATTCTTTGCAAAGGAAGGTTCGCTTTCAATTGCAGCCGTAGATTGATTGGCACCATAGTGAGGATAATTAGACCGTCCGATTACTTCTTATCTAATTACCAGACTTAAACTAGTGAGTCTTACTCTATAACTTTCTCCACCGATGCTAGTAGCAAAACTAGGTACCATTCTTTGGCCCCTTGACCCTTACTTTTTCTCTATTCTCCCATCCTTGCATTGCTGGAAGCAAAACATGCATTGCTGCCCTTTCTTTTGTGGAAACATTAACATCAGTTACCCTTTCGATTAAAAGGTCAATCTCGCGAGCCTAATGATAAATGATAGATAAAGATTTTGAATGATAGATTTAAGATTTTGAATAAAAAGTAATGAAAAGATAATTATAAAAATAGTCATATAATATATAATTTTATACTTATAATAATAAAAAAAATAAAAATTAATAAGTGACTGTAATCACTATTTACCAACTCTTTGACTCCGTCTCTAATAATAACCACAGGCTTGAAGTGGAGTGCAAGAAAAACCGCATCGCTTTCCCATGAAATATGGGAATTTCTATGTCCTAGACATCTCTTATGTTGATCAAACGCTGCGACATCCAGATGTGAGTCTGGACAAGGAATGCTCCATTCCTCGCAGTTCCATCCCTTCGTACTACTATTATGGAGAAAGCCTCCTATCGGATCGTGTTGAACAATGGATCTAGTTGATGACAACCTAATACCATTTACTAGCAAGGGATGTTGTTGTTCCAACTAGATTAAAACAACTCTTAAAAAATTAAGTTACCACTACTCCTAAGAGAAAAACAAAAAGATACAATACGTAGATATGATGTTAATTAAAATTATTTATAATGTACTCTCGTTTAAAATTATTTATAATGTACTTTCGCTCTATCGAAGGTGTATAGGTATAAAGTTAAAGCCTTAAAGATTAGAATATCATGAGATTAATATATAACTTGACATGCAATTAACATGAACAATTCGTATTTTTCCTCTTTTTTTTTAAATCAAATGAACAATTTGTTGAATTTTCAAACCGTGGTATATTTTTGGG